ACTATATATATATATATATATATATATATATATATATATATATTTATTTATATCTAAGGAATCCCATACTGATCTTTAAGCAAAGTTATCTTGTCACCCCTAGCTTAGAGGCCCTACATTGGTAACTTTAGAGGTCTTGTAGCTCATTTATAAAGGTATCTATGTCCCTAAGGAATCTCATACTGATCTTTAAGCAAAGTTATCTTGTCACTCCTAGCTTAGTGGCCCTACATAGGTAACTTTAGAGATCTTGTAGCTCATTTATAAAGGTATCTATGTCCCTGAACCACGAGTGAGGCATCCGAACGAGTAACACTCAGACCTTTCCTCTTATGTAGTTACAACCTAAGTCTTCCATTGGAGAGCTAGCTACTAGGAAAGGGATTGTGGCCATGTATCCTGAGAGAAGGCCCCACCCCTTATCTCAGTACATATGGCCTTGCAGTTTCTTGTCTTTTAATAAAAGTTTTAATGTATTCATTCGATCTAATAGAATGATTTTGCCATATCCAGGATAATACCAATCCAATCCCTTTCATGAATAAAATGTTACTGATTAACCAACCAACAAAACTATTTGCTACAAATAACATCTTGTTGCATTGAAACATAGATATATTTCTATGATTGGGACCTCCTTGTACGAAAAGTAAATGGTCTCATTGTATACATTCCTCCATGTAATATCTAATAATATCTCACAATCTAGTGCAGAGTGATAGTTAGCGATCAAAAGATGAAGGCCTGAGTAGGGGTGGGGCACTTCATAGATAATTTACCGAAAAGAAAAAAAAACTTTATAACGATCATTGCTATCTTTTAATGAGAACAAGCAAGGAGAAAATAATTGAGAGTAATTTGCGTCTCATGCTCATGAATCATTGGTTTTGTTCAGTCTGCCCACATACTGAAAGGAAATCTCCATAGAGCTCATGGCTTTGTGGATCTCTTCTACTGTGTATGCAATCCTTGCATTAAGAAAGAATACAGACATATGGGATGGTGATAACCTTGAATTTGATCATGGCATCCAATATTGAGAATATGATGGAGTTTGGTTTTGTTTTTTTTTGGGGTAATTCAGTGGGGATTGGGGCCTCTATCCCTGTAGGAATGGTGTTCGAGACCTCTTTCTGGGTCATCCGAGGTAATACCACTGAGACCTCAGTCCATTTCTTATGATGGAGTTTGACTAGATACTGCCATTTTTAAATAGATCAGTCCGCTAAATTTTATTTATTATTTTATTTTGTACCTTGAAAGGTAAAGAATCTTTTGTACTTTAGTATTTATCATAAATTAAATCGAAATTAAATCGTGCCTTTGCAAACTATGAGAATCCATGGATTGTTTTGTTGGAATTCTCTAGCCTTGTGTAATATAGTAGATGTGCATGCTAGATTCTTCACTATCGATATATCACACATGTGAGCTCTTTATCATATTGCAAAGTTCCCATATATTTTTGGGATTGTATACAATGAGACCATTTACTTTTAATACAAGGATATCATAATCACTTATAACCATCTGATTTGAAATCTTATAGCTTAGGTGTGTCGCAAAGAAAATTTCTTTTGAAATTTGAGCTTGGTCATTGGAATAAATGCAGTCATCTAATTTCACATCCAAAGGTCAAGATGAATTGTGACCACCTTATACCAAAGATAAATGGTCTCATTGTCTATTTTTCATATATTTTTAATTATTCCATGTCATAGACCTGAACTACAAGATACATCATAATTTTTAACCATGACATTGTCATTTCTAATCTTTATAATACAATTAGATCTTTTTAATCAAGATTGCAAATGCACATGTATTTTTTTATCGTGGCATTGTCATATAACTGAACTACTTTTTTAATTATATTAATTAATCAGGCTTCTAATATATTATTTGTTTTGACCTTGGCAATACATGTTCAGCCATGTGTTGCTACGTGGAGTAATAAGTGCCCTCTGAACTATAGAAGAAGAAGGCCATTTATTTTCATTGGGTCCCTCATGATTTTTACAGAAGTGAGTATTCGCAGTTCATGCCACTTGCCATGGCCTAAAGACTATGCTCATATCAGTTTATGCTCCCTTGTGTAAAAGACTGAAGTGAGATTAGTTTTAAGACCTCAAATTTCGAGCATGTGACAAATTAAACCTAGGGAGCAACCTTGTAAGAGAAAATGAAAAAAGTATAAAAGAAGAAAGAAAAATAGTATGCACATTCTATATGTGCTTGAAAATAATGATATCCTAAGATCATATAGAGAGGATCCAATTTTGTACACTTAGATCCAAGTTTTTTAAAAACTCAAAATCCATTTTTTCTTTTTCTTTAGATATTCATTTGTTGATTGTAAAGTAGATCCCAAAATTTTAGATTTAGGAAACACTCAATTTCTTGAGGATATTCTTCGTTCCTAGCATTCAATTTCTCCTTCATTTTTTTCCGTAGTTAATAAGCACTATTTAAATGTCTAACCAAAAGTGTTGTTGTTGAAATGCCAATACTTTATCTACTGGTAACCCTTTTAATTGTTTCCCCTTAATGGAAATATTATTGATAGACTTTTCTACAAGTTAAGATCCACCAACTGGGGGCATCTTGAGAAATTTTTAGCATGTTTTTAAAATCAAATAAAACTGGACTCGAAAAACCTTGGCTTTTATGTAATGTAAAGCGAGATGTACATCTTATTCATTTTTTGTTTTGATTGTAAACACGATTTGTTTCCCTTGATCTGTGCTTCTGTTACTTGTACTCCTAACAAAACCACAAAGGAGAATCATGACAACAAGATTTGTTTATTCAATTTCCATTGTTAAGGTTTCAACTTTTGTTCACATGATCAATTCACAATTCAGCAAAAACTTCAGCTTCACAAATTATTGTAAGTTACTATATTAAAATTTAGTTCAACCAAATGCTAAAATATATAAAAAAGCACTTCTTTGCACAAACTGTCCAAACCATCTACCATTCACCAATAAAATAAAAGAGATAAAGAAAAGGAGAATAAGTAGAGGAAGCCACCCAAAAAAAAAAAAAACGAATAGCAGAGACACGATATGAAATGAGTGTAAACAATTAGGCCCTCAAAATCGCTATGTAGCTTGATCTTGCATCTTTCAAATTTAAGGTTGCATCCCTAATGTTGATCCGCTCATTTGGTCGTTCCTTTGTGCATAACAAACCTACCTCCATGACTGATGACAAGCATTTATGCATTGAACTTGAATATTGTAGTCTTGAGTTTCTACCATTGTTGTGGCTAATATTTTCCATCAATAGATCCCCATCCACAACTTGTAGCATTCCATCCGGGTATTCTTGGTCCACCCATTTTGGCAAGTTCAAACCATTGGAGAACATAGAATCAATGGGCCTCTTCCTTGTAAAAGTCTCAAATAATATTACCCCAAAGCTATACACATCTCCACCAGTAGTTATGCTTCCCCCGGTTCCATATTCTAATGGTTGATCAAACAAATTGAGTCAGTTAAAAATTCCTTGAGGAATAATATTCTTACTGTGTAAAAATACAAAAGCAAAGCCTTCAACTCTTTAGTTTTATCTTCTATCCTGTGATCCCTATGGTCATTGTGAGCCTATGAACATGAGGTTATCGCCCTCCAATGAATGATTTGATGGTGGCAATGATCATGGTTGTTATAGACCATATTATAATTTTTCTACTTTTGAATTGTCTTATAATCTTCGGTAGTGGGTTGGTGGCACTTGTCTCAATCCAACGCACAAAACTAATAAACCTAGTGCTTAGGAATAAACAGTTCAAGTTAATTTTCTTTCTAAACTCCTCTCCTTCTAAATCCCTCTCCTATGCTTCATAGTCATCCCAATAATGCCTTTTAAAAAAATATTTTTTCCCTTTTTTCTTCTTAGTGTACCACTCCCTTCTCTATCACATCATTGCATTTCATGCAGTTCCACATCTATACAAGTATGAACTAGTGTTTGATTGAACGACATGGGCTGAGTACTCAGCCCAAGTCCTAGTAACTTGGACTGATGTAGGCTGAATAATGTTTAAGCCAAAATATGTTAAAAAAATGAAAAATGCAAAACAATAAAAAAAGGAAATTTATGTAAAAAAGAAGATTAAACAAAATACATCTAAATGAGGTTAAAAAAGTAGTGAAAAAAAAAAGATTTTAGCAAAAATCAATTTGTGATTGGGGGTATTTTTGACATAATCTAAAAAGAAGGAAATTGTAAAAATAAGTATTCGTGGCCAAAATACTTTCCAATGTGGCCAAAATGATAGAGCACATAAAAGAACATGTCACAAATAGATTTCCTTTTTGTTTTTGAATTATTTATGTTTTTTAATATTTTTAAGATCCCCAAGTTTGGATCCCCCACTTGGGATACCGAGCGGAGTATTCGGAACTCAGGCCAAGTAGTCAAACATATGAACTCTTACTTTTACTACATGTTTTTGATTTATTGCTAACACAACATGACTGTGCATCTATCGATTAATTGGTTTTTAGTGCTACGACTGAGTTTGGCAATAATTTAGATGAAAAGGGCACAACTGGAAAGGATGTAATCTACAATTTACAATAAAATGCCAAAGAAAATCAATGTGGGAAAAAGTTGTACCTGGAGCTATATATCCGATGGTTCCAATGGTGCTCGTCTCGGTAACAAAGTTTTCCTCCCCAATCAGCCTTGCGAGTCCGAAATCTCCAACATGTGCAATCATATCTTCATCTAGGAGGACGTTACTAGGTTTCAAATCACGATGTACTATTGGCACTGAATAATTATGATGGAGGTATTCCAAGGCATCTGCTATGTTTATCACAATGTCCAATCTTTGGAGAAAACTCAGTTGACAACATGCGTGATCTTGAGGGTACAACCATCTTTCTAGATTACCATTAGGCATAAATTGCAAAACCAATGCTTTGAAGTCCAAATTGCAACATGCAGTAATAACCTTCACCAGGTTCCGGTGGCGTATCTTTCGCATCACTGTGCATTCTGCGTGAAAACTCTTTGTGGCACCTTCTCTTTGCAAATCCAAAACTTTGATTGCAACGTGTGAGCTGTCTGATAGGAATCCTTTATACACACAACCAAAACTACCTGCTCCAAGTAAGTTTGAGTGGTTGAAGTTATTGGTTGCATGACGAAGCTCACAATAGGATATCCACCTTGGACCCTTTATTTGTGATACACCGTCAGTTATGGCAATCCTCAGCTCATGCCTCCAAAAGAAAACAAGAACAAAGCATAAAAGGCTAAAGACAAAGGCACATATGATCCCAAGAGGGATTTCAAATGCCAATGATCTCGTCCATGACCTTGACCTTGGTGTTGTACCATTTTTTGGGCATGCTGGCACCTTTAGCTTTGAGGGTCCACATAGTCGTGAGTTACCAATAAAGGAATCTGCAGTAATGTTTGCAAATACTCCTTTGCTCGGGATTGGTCCTTCAAACCCATTGAAAGATAGATTTAAGAACAAAAGATAATTAAGTGAACCCAAGGACCTTGGGATCTCGCCAGACAATTTATTTGAAGAGATATCCATGTACTTCAAGCTTCTCATTTCTCCAAATGTTCTAGGGATTGTCCCTTGAAATGAGTTAAGAGATAGGTCAAGGTTTTCAAGAGCCTGGAGGTTTCCCATGCTGTTAGGCAAGTTTCCAAATAAACGATTAGCAGAGAAGTTCATTGTGATCAACATACTTGAACTCCCCAGTTCTTGGGGCAAAAGCCCAGAGAATGAATTTCCTGACAAATCTACCTCGAGCAATCCTTGACGCCATATTTCAGTAGGCAGTTCCCCAAATAATCTATTATTGCCTAGGTATAAATGAGAGATTTTGGTGAGGTTGTTCATGGAAGGCGGTATGGGACTAGACAACATGTTGTCGTTGAGGTACAATTCGAGCAAACTCTCCAACTGACCAAACTCTGGTGGGATGGATCCTTCGAGCTTGTTCTCGTTGAGAAGCAAGCGATCAATTTTCTGCAACCTACCTATATCCGATGGGAGATTTCCACTTAAGGAGTTGCGACTCAAATCCAAGCATCTCAAGTTATGGAGGTTGCTGATGCTCATTGGAATGCTTCCCTTAATATGGCAGCCTCCAATGCTAAATATTTGGAGATTGTTAGAGAAATTTCCTATGGAGTTTGGTAAGAAACCTGTGATATGATTATCGCCTAGTTGTAGCTCATTCAAGATAGTGCAATTTGTTAAATAATCAATAAAACTGAGGTAAGAACTATATGGGTCATTCTCCAATTGATTACCATGGAGGAAGAGCACTTCGAGGAGTGACAGATGTCCAAGTGATGTAGGCACAGGTCCATTGAACTGGTTGTGCTGTAATTTAATGACGTTGAGCTTGGATGCATTATGTAAAGAAGTGGGGATTGGCCCACTCAGTTGATTACCCCCTAGGTTAAGGTTTTCAAGATTAGGCAGCATAAAACCCATGTTTGTTGGAAGCTGGCCAGATAAACCATTGGAACGGAGGTCTAAACCTCTCAAAGAGGAGATATTGAATGTTGAAGGAATAGGTCCAGTCAAGTTGTTGGCATGGAATGTTAATAGGGCTAACCTACCTAAAAGTCCTATCTCCTTTGGGATGCTTCCATGTAGAAGATTGTTACCTAGGTGGATTGTCTCCAAGCTAGAAAGATTTCCGAGTGATGGGGGGATTGTACCTCTAACGAAATTATGATGAAGATGTAGAAGCTTTAGCTTTTGTAGAAGACCTAGCTTCTTAGGGATGCTTCCGTGTAGACGATTACTAGACAGGTGGATTTCCTCCAAGGTAGAAAGATTTCCTAGTGAAGGGGGGATGCTGCCTGTTAGGGAATTAAATCCAAGATACATCACCTTGATGTTTGGTAGAATACCCAGCTCCTCAGGGATGCTTCCTTCCAACCTGTTATATGATAATATCAAGCGCTGCAACTTTTTACATCCACTGATGCTTGGTGGGATCTTCCCTTCCAATTGATTTTGGCTTACGCGCAGGACTTGCAAGCGAGACAAGCGGCCTATTTCAGGAGGTATGCTTCCCTGCAAACTGTTGTTTCGCAAGGCAAGAACTCGCAAAAATGATAGATTCCCTATATGGGGGGTGAGCGTACCTTGCAAGCCAGTGTGTGTTAGATTCAAGTAGGTGACTCTTTGCCTGGACTTGCTGCACGAGACACCAGTCCAATTGCAGAAGTTCGTCCTGGTGTTCCAGTCACCTAAGACATTATAGGGATCGGAGGTAATGTGGTCTTTGAAGGAGAGCAAGGGTTGTTGGTCCGTGCGGTTGTTGAGTAATGATAAGTGTGATTCACTCATAAGAGGCAAAGTCATGGAGAAAGCGAAAGCAAAGAGGATGAGCGTGAGAAAGGGCAGAAGGTGAGGCAGCTTCATTCGTTAGTGGAGTGGAGATGCGGTGGAGAGTTAGTAGTGAAGATGGATGGGAGGGTAAAGCTTAAATAAGCATTCCATCTTCTTCAAAGCCATGTACCCTCTTGAACATTAAGATAGAGATTCAATCTTTATGCCAGTTGTGCAGTAAAGAAGAGTTTCCTCTCAATTCAATGTTGGAAAAAGGTGGTAATGAGTTCTAAAATATCAACGGATTCATGGTTAAATCCCCTAATGATCCAATCCATGTTATTACAATTTCGACCGATGGGGATCAAATGGTATTAGTTCATTTGTTGGTAGCTTGGAGGATTACGACTATGACTATTGCTTTCCAATTGGTTGTTTTTGCATTAATTGCTACTTCATCAATCTTACTGAGTAGAGTACCCGTTGTATTTTCTTTTTCTGATGGTTGGTCAAGTAACAAAAATATTGTATTTTCAGGTACATCATTATTGATTGGATTAGTCTTTTTGGTAGCTATCCTTAATTCTCTTATCTCTTGAGCCTTTCCCAGATCAACAAATTGCCTCCTCCCCGGAAGGCATTCTGGTTGTGGGACACATTAACCTTGAGTCCTGAAAAGAAAGAAAGAAAAAAAAATGAGAGGGTGGGATCAAAAGTTACTTGACAATAACCGGCATAATTTCAAACATACCACCATTTTCTTTTCATATCTATATATCTCGATGTCGAGATGATCGATTAGAGGGGTTTTCAACATTAAAACAACCTTTTCCGATAGATTTTTGAGGTGCACCTTCAACTTTGCCAGCTTATATAAACTTTTCCCTTATGTAAAGAAATTTCTGCCGCACACGCACACGCACACGCACACGCACACGCACACGCACACGCACACACACGCACACGCACACGCACACGCACATGCACACGCACACGCACACGCACACGCACATGCACACGCACACGCACACGCAAATACACACACACACACACACACACATATATATATATATATATATATATATAACAAGCATTATACATGATCTGTTGGTTACCTTTTTTTTCACTTTTTTTTTTTTTAAATCATATCACTTGCTTTGTAGAATAAAAAACAATAAGAAAATATAGACAATGAGATCACTCACTTTTGGTACAAGAAAGTCACAATCGAGTGGATAGGGATATGTTATTGATTGGTATAAAGGCCCACATAAATTTGTTGAATTTCACATTCAATGGTTAAGAATGATTGAGACATCTTTGTGTTCCCAAGTACATGGGATTACATAGCATTATTTCTGCTTGTTCATTTTACTATTTTCCTTGAGCTCAGTTTGGACGTTCCATAATTGGGAGTAAATCCTATTTTTCTTTTTTTTTGAGTTGGGCTAGAAAAAGATACCATTTATTACGTCCTGCAATGCATGAATGAGTTACCTGCTTATTTAGAAAACAGAGAAAAATGCTTGGGCCCATGAAAAAGGACCTATTTTCCTTGCTAATAAAGAAAAACCCATTTCTCCTAAATTAATGGCTCATGTCATTATATATATATATATATATATATATATTCCAAAATAGGCTCTCACATAATAGAGCCCTGCAAGTTGAGAATAAAAAAAGACTCAGGAGTTTATGAGTCCCATAAATTAATGCATATCCTGTAGCTTTTCCCCTTTCTTGGACGTGCTTTTGATCAAATCTTCTTCCACAGTTTAGGTAGTGATCTTCATCCCTTAAATGTGGTCTCTCTCCTTTCCAAATCCCAAATTTGTTTAATTGGTTACCTTAGTGGGGGTCACTAAAGTTATCAAATAATGAGGTCCCAAAGTGCTTTTGACCAAATCTTCTTCCACAGTTTAGTTAGTGGTCTTCATCTCTTAAATGTGGTCTCACACCTTTCGGAATCCCAAATTTGTTTAATTGGTTACCTTAGTGGGGGTCACTAAAGTTATCAAATGGTGAGGTCCCAAAGTTTGCAGTAAATTTTAAAGCTTCCTTTGCTACCACTATCTGTTTGTGGCAGATTAAAAAATCTATTAACTTTTCAAAAGATTTCAAGTTGTAAGTTAACATTTAGTCAGCATTGCTTTCAAGGCAGTTTCCTTAATGTTGCGTGGTTTTGTCAGTGGGGTTGGCTGAGAAGTTGTAGGGATCAGTGCTAACATGGTCGTCGAAGAAAAGCAAGCTTTGTTGATCAGTGAAGTTGTTGAGTGAGATTCATATATAATAGGAAGAGAATCACAGGGAAGCAGAGAAGTTGAGATCACCTCTGTTGCATACAAACTCAGATCTTGCAGTGCTGAAACCATAGGGAGTTTACCTGTTAGAATCGATGGGTCGGGAAGCTGAAATAGAAGTTCCCTTGCAGGTGTACGCAAATGTAGTTCCATATTTTGCCTAGCATTCAGAGACAAAATATTCTCAACTTTGAGCAGCTTCCTTTTTTCTGTTCTCTTTTCGGAGGATAATGTTTGAAAGTGATAGAGCCACGATCACATGAAAACAGATTGATTGAGTCACACTGTCACAAAAGTATGTATAGACTACGTTGTCACATCCATGTTCATCAGAGAAGGTCAAATTTTATAGCAAGGAGAAGTGTTTGGTGAGTCAGCCCACTCACATGTAGATGTGCGGCTCCCCTCAAAAGTTCATCTTCATGTTGGATTTTGGATCCAAAATTTTGAGTTTTGTTAATCTTAATCATTATGGTTATTATTATTATTATTTTAAATTAAAATTATATATTTTTTAATATGTTTTGGCACCATCCATTTTGAGCTATAGTGAATGCGCTGTTTTTTTTACGTCCATCTCTAGCATGGACATCTGATGCATGAGGAGACCCTTTATAATTTTGCTCTAAGATGGACAAGGTACAGTGAAACCGTGTCCTTATATAAATATTTAGTCAAGAATTGCTTTCAAATTGAAGTTTCACCATAAACTAGTTGTTTCTCTCTTGTAGTAATGGAAAAACATAAATTATCTTAGTAAGTACAGGCCGTGGAGATATTCTTTGAGATATTACGGGTAAAAGAATATATCGTGGTAATATCCTATAAAATGATTTTATTAGTCATAACCACAGACGAAATTATATAAGTTGTGACTATACATGTAAGCCGAAAGATTTTCTACTACTGCGGGAGTATACTATTGCTAGGTATCAACCAAGCAATGCAGTCAAGAGTGGGTCTTTACTGTGCATGTGTGTATGTTTGTTGCTGTCACCATTTGAAACCAACAAAAGAAAAAATAAAAAAGAAGAGAGTATGTCTATAATTGTTGTTCATGTTGGTTTCATGGCTCACTAAATTTTGTTTAGGGGAAATAATAAATAGAGTGCGTTTGTGGTTATAGCTGGTAGTTACTTTTTGGACAAGCATTCATGGTTTTGGAGTAACGACTGAGTGCATGAGCGGTTGACCATGTACCCGGGTCTTAACGCTTTAGCTACAACATTGCACTGCACAGTCGATATGAGGAACCACTGAACTCAATTAACAGCTGCCCTCTATATGATTAAGAGGAAGCTGAAATAAGCATTCCATCTTCAGATCTTTCCCCTTTCTTGGACGTGCTTGTTACCAAATCTTCTTCCACAATTTAGTTAGTGGTATTCGTCCCTTAAATGTGGTCTATCACCTTTCCAAATCCCAAGTTTTTTTAATTGCTTACTTAGTGGAGGTCACCGAAGTTATCACTTCCAAAGTTTGCAATAAATGATTTTCACCTTTGCTACCACTATCTAAGATTCCTTTGTAGTTTGTGGCAGTTTAAATAAATCTATTAACTTTTCAAAAGACTTGAGTTGTAAGTTTACAATTTAGTCAGGCATTGCTTTCACATGGCAGTTTCATTAATATCGCATAGTTTTGTGAGGTAATGCAGTTGTTGAAGGAAATCAAGCTTTGTTGATCAGTAAAGTTGTTGAGCGATGATGAGTGAGATTCATATATATATAGGAAGGGAATCGACCGAGTCGTTCTATGAATACGATCTCAAATGGCAGTTCTTGACGCGGATCAACAATTTTTTAAATTTATAGCATGTATCTTTAAAATAGTGCATGTTCATGTGAACTGTGTGCATAGATATTGAGTTTGGGGGTGTTTGCGCTTCTATAATTGCAAACATTGGTACAGAAATTATTATGGAATTGTCTATAAAATGACTATTTACCTTTTGAACAAGGAGCTCAAAATCATTCTTGTTCTTTAGATTTCAAAATGGGTGGATGTAAGAATCTCTAATTCATGTCACAATCATTCTTGTCCTTTAGACTTCAAAATGGGAGGATGTAAGAGTGTCATTGATTAGACACAAGTTTTAAAGGAATAAAAATTCACAAACTTCATGATTCACCTCTAACCATCCAATTTAATTTCTAATGAGTGGGAATAATTGTGCAAAAGCTAAATGGTCTCTTTATATAGACAATCCCAACTTTTATGTCCATGGATATATGCACGAGAGAGTGACTCTAGATTTGTTGGTGTATTTTTTTGGCAAAGTTTTATTTAAACGCCATGGATTGGAAAAATGAGCAAAAGGTCAGCTTTTTGAACATAACATGCTAAAGATGAAGCACCTTTTTTTTTTTTTAACTACAATTGGGGCATGAGTTAAATATTTGGGTGCGTCCATGACATTTAATTCTTTTCTTCTGGAAACTAGGTCGAGCTAATATACATCAATTATGCATATGAGACGTGGTACGCGTGGTTTCAACACCAACAATAACATTTGAAATTAAAAAAATGATACAAATCTTGCAGATTTGTGAACACTTAGTTTTAAGGTAAAATAGACAATCAAGATAATTGGTTACAATATATACGATAATTTGTTATAATATATACTATTTTTAAAGCTTGAAAATCTAATTTTTTTTCGCAACCATAATGTTCAAGTGGAGATGAGTAATGTAAAGGTTTTTCAATGCTTGACTTGCAATTTTTGATGAGCTATGAAGTGATGAGATTTGCTTTTTTTTATAGGGTTGTAGCCCTAGTAAACCATTTCCCAAAATGAAATAATACGACATAAAGTGATATAGTATCATTTTTTTTTGTTATTCTTACTATTCATTCTGGTTATCTATTCAGTTTAGAAAGCTTACAAAGTGATTAAGCCACATCTTAAAATTTTAGCAGGCTCTTTATGATTAGTATAAAGCAAGAATAATAAATAAAAAAATTGCAAAGACAGGACAGTTTGCCAATAATAACTAAAGATGAAAAGAATGGACTATGAAAACACGACGAAGTTCCAAGTTTGATTTAAGGGCCGAAAAATATAAATTGGAATGAGTTGAAATTGAGGCACGTGATGTTTGTATCTATTTAAACATATGCAATTGAGCTTGTTAACATAATCTTGTAACTCAAAATACTATTTTTTTGCTTTCAAATCAATTTCTTGGTAGTAGTGACAGATTTAGTGAAGAGCTTGATTTCATTTTCTTATCTAGGTATGGAACGATACAAATTTACCAGCACGGTGGAGTGCTCAAAGTTTCAAAAAAAGTTCTGGGTATAATGAAGGGAGTCCGAGAATAAAACTTGTATAAATTGTTGGGGATCACAAATATAAATGAAAAGATAAATTTGATTGTAGAAGAAGAAGAAGAAGCTCGGCAAGGGGTACATGGTTTGGCAATGGAAGATCTTGGTGGTATAAGGCAAGGTCATGATATGGATATTCAACAAGGTTGAAAAATTAAAGATTCG